GAAGTTTTGGGTTTTTTCCTCCTCTGTTGCAAATTCTCATGGTTTGGGTTGGGTGGTGGAGAGCGTGTGTCGTCTGCGGGTGGCACTGCCCGCGGTGGGCGGCGGGCGGTGGGGGGGCCTCTCTGCTCGAAGGTGACCACGTTTAGATTCTGAGACGGGAAGTGGAGAGTGAACAGGTCACGGCGACTTTTTTTTTTTTTTTTTTTTTGTAGTTTAACTTTTCCTTTTCTGCTGTCTAGTCATCCCCGTGGGTCTTCTGCTGCTTGGTATCGACGTCGTCATCCTCATCATCCTCAGCTGCCCGCTGGCCCGTGGCCGACTCAGCTGCCTCGTCTTCATCTCCATCCTCTTCCTCAGCATCACCTTCTTCTTCCTCCTCCTCTTCCTCCCCACCTTCTTCCTCTTGTTCATCTACCTCATTGTCAGCCTCCTGCTCCCCGTTTTCCTCCTTAGCATTCCCGATAGCAGCGGCGTCTCTTCCATTTTCCGCCTGTTCCACAACTTCCTTCACCTGTAAGTCCGTGGTGGTGATTTCGGAGCCGGTGTCTACGGCTGCCTCTGACACGGGGTGGGGGGACGAGGGTGATCCGATGCAGGGGATTAAGAAGAAAGCCAGAGTTCAGGGACTCTGGCGATAAAGCTGCCCAGCCGGACAAGGAACAATGCAAAGACGGCTTTTCAGAGCAGCCAGTGGGGAAAAGAAGGAATTTAACTGGCAAAAGAACGAGCTATTCTGACCACCTCAATTCTGAATTCTTTTTGTTTGTTTGTTTGTTTTGTTTTTTGATACAGAGTCTCACTCTGCCACCCAGGCTGTAGTGCAGTGGCACCATCTCAGCTCACTGCAACCTCCATCTCCTGGGTTCAAGTCATTATCCTACCTCAAACTCCCGAATAGCTGGGATGACAGGTGCCCACCACCACTCCCAGCTAATTTTTGTATTTTTACCAGAGATGGGGTTTCTCCATGTTGTCCAGGCTGGTCTCAAACTCCTGACCTCAGGTGATCCGCCCGCCTTGGCCTCTCAAAGTGCTGGGATTACAGGGGTAACCCACAGTGCCCAGTCCAATTCTGAATCCTTAGAAATGTGTGAAAAGCTGGATTATAACTGAAATTATGTGTGCTTAGAATCAGGGCAAGAAGCAATGTGTTTTAAGTGCATGATGGCATTAGGCTTGATATTTCAGCAACAGATTTATACTGCATGTTGAGTCTTTAAACAGAGTGTCCAAAATATTCTTTTTTGAAAAAAAAATGTTTGAGACAGGATTTCACTTTGTCACCCAGGCAAGAGTGCAGTGGCGCAATCACAGCTCACGGTAGCCTCCACCTCCCAGGCTCAAGCCATCCTTCCACTTCAGCCTCCCAGGGTGCTGGAACTACAGTCACACACCGCTATGCCCAGCTAATTTTTGTATTTTTTGTAGAGACGAGGTTTTGCCACGTTGCCCAGGCTGGTCTCAAACACCTGAGCTCAAGCAATTCTCCTGCCTCAGCCTCCCAAAGTGCTGGGATTTCAGGTGTGAACCACCCTGCCCAGCCTTTGTTTGAAAATTATTAAGAATTTTGACACTGACAGAAGAACATCAGAACAAGTGCAGGGAGCTTCTGAGCTCATGGCCCTGTGTGACTGGCCACACATTCAGAAAGCCAGCCTAAATATGAAACAATCCTCTAGTGCAAACTACCACCTACCATCTAAACCCAGCTTGCCCTCTGTTTCTGTAAATGAAGTTTTATTGGAGTGCAGCCATGCTCATTGGTTTCATCTGTGGCTGTTTTTGTTCTACAGGAGGAGAGTTTTCCATACATGTGACAGAGATTGTAAGGCCCACAAAGGCTAAAATATTTACTATCTGGCCCTTTATAAAAGTTTGTTGCCTCCTGCTATAGGATGTAATCTGTCAGTTCTTGCCCCATACTTGCTATTCTAAATGAGCACTCAGCCGTCTACAACGTGTTTCACTCTTCTCCTTGGAAACCATGTAGAGTCCACCTGGAGTCTATAGCTACAAATCAGAAGAATTTGGACACTGCTGACCTGCTCACAGACTGAAATGCCAAGAATTTCTGTGGCAGTGTAAGGACAGCAGTAACTATGAATTCTCCAGGGGAAGCCTGCAAAGCTATATGATCTCTTCTACCTGAATCTCTTGTGTACCTGAGGTTTCTCACCGTGCTACCACAAAACAATATACAGCTGCCAACTCCCAGTCAGCAACTTGCCTGGAGTCTTACGTTCCCCTCGTAAAGGATAGGGCTCAAGAATTGCTCTTCTTGACTGGCTATTAATAAAATCTCCAAAATCCTCTAGCACCATGTCTGGCATATCTGCCTCCCACGTAAATTCCCCGGGACCAGGTGCCCATGTGCTATGGTCTGAATGTCTGTCCCCTCCAAAACTCATGTTGAAATTTAATTACCGTTGCAACAATATCAAGAGGTGGGATCTTATTTTTAGTTTTTTAATTTTAATTTTAATTTTTTTTAGACACAGGGTCTCACTATGTCATCCTGGCTAGAGCGCAGTAGCACAATCATGGTTCACTGCAGCCTCAACATAAGCTCAAGAGATCCTCCTGCCTCAGCCTCCTGAAGAAGTAGGACCTTTAAGAAGTGATTAGGCCATGAAGGTTCTGCCTTCCTGAATGGATTAATGCCATTATCTCAAGAATGGGCTTGTTATGGCAGGAGTGTGCTCATTATTAAAAGGGCAAGTTCAGTCCACTTTCTTCCCCCTCTTCCCCTCTTTCCTTTTGCCTTATGATGACGAAGCAAGAAGGCTCTCACCAGATGCCTGCCCCTTGATATTGAACTTTCCAGCCTCCAAAACTGTGAGCCAATAAATTTCTGTGTATTATAAGTTGCCCAGTCTCAGATATTCTGTTATCATAGCGCAAAAGACTACGTAACCTTAATACCTAGGCTAGGTCCTATTAGAACTTTGAGGATCTAATAGCTTACCCTGAAGGCTGGCTATCTAGTCAGCCTGCTGTAGTTTCATGGATGCTGGTAGAAGACATGAGACATCTGGGTCAGAAATAAAGGATTGTTTATTACAACAATAGCAATAGCCAAAGTAACAGCATTTCGGCACCGGTTTCCCAAGCCCCAGTTTCCACAGGGTGACACAAGGGACAGTTGATGTCTGCACAGGCAGTGAGTTCTGTTACAGGAAAAGCACCCTGAGCTTGGAAAATAATCCCATTATAATGGGTTGTGGCACACTTCCCCTTAGCCCTAGAAGGAAAGATGATTTTACAACACTGGATAGTAAGCAAACTTGTTCTTTTGCTATGAAGGGAGATGCTATCTCTATCCTTCAAGACAGTTTGCTATATAAATGTCCTCTAAAGATAGATTAGAATAAAAGGTAGTCAGTGCCCTGGTTGCAACATGTGCAGAAATGCAAGAAATTCTTGGAGAATTGTCTCTCAACAGCCTCCATATGGACTTGGTCCTTTATGGTGACTCTTCCCTCTCACTCCTATAGCTATAAATGAGCCCCTTTTTTTCTGTGAGCAAGCTGGATTTTTGCTAGTGATCTTCTCCCAGGTTTGCTTCCTTCTTTTCTAGTTTGCAGATTTATACTGGGTACTTTAGAGAAATATACCCTACCCATCATATTGCCCCCAAACCAACATACAAATAAATGGTCTCTCATGTTTTGTGACTTTCCAAGTAGAATTTTATCAATTGCTTTTGTCTCTATATAGCCATACAACTTAGGTATCACAATATGTTTAAAGCACTTAGCCATTTCTTCCCCCCAACCATTCACCATGTTCTTCCCAAATTCTTAAAGCTGTGTGTGTATAATGCTACAAAAAATATGATATTAAACTCAAGTGCCAGGGTATTCCAGCCATCATACATAAATGTTAGAGATTATTACTGGCATCATGTTTAGAATGTACCATGTAAGGAGTCTATTGTGCAAACGAGAGACTAAACGGGAGTAGATAAAACGGAAAAGGAAGAGGAATCAGGAACTCAGTCCAAACAAAAACATCATCCAGAGGAAACAGGATAAGCCTGCCCAGACACAGGAAACTATAATGAGGAAGGAAAAGCAATTCTCAGAACAGATGGGCGGAAACTGAGCAACTAACAGAGGTGGAGCCATGTTTATTTGAGAAAGTGTATTCTGAGATTTGGGGGTTGAACAGAATCTGTGCTTATTCCCCACAGCTCCTGGATCTCTAATGATGCTATATGTGGATACTGAACTGGCACATGCGTGAGCTCCTGTAACGATCAAGCTATTTCTTAAACCTCTAATTCTCTGTCACTTGTAACTTCCTGTCTTTTGAAAAATATATGTATGTTTTTATTTGAATGGATACTAACTTGATTAATTCATTTCCTAAATATTTGAATTTCTAGAGAACTGTGAAAGTTAATGGAGATGATTGAAAAGGATATTGAAACGAGGTCTATCCCAGAAAACATAGGACAGATGGTTATGGGGCATTAAAAAAGAGAACTGTTAAGCCTACAATCCAGCATCTTATTGTCTGCTGTATTTTTTTAAAAGCTTGCAGAGTAAGGCGTATGTTATTGTTTCATCTCTTTTGATACAACTGAGTTCCTTCAAACACATACAATTAAAAAATAATCCACTCTCAAGTAAATTGTATGTCTGTGTGAATAAAAATGCAATCCCTTGTAGATGAGTTTTATGTTTCCCAGCTGCCTATGAGATTATTATGTATCATAAATTGTACACTCTGTGCTCTGCATTCCTTTGCAGCTACAAATGAAAAGATTTAGGCATGTTTTTATTTCTTATTGAAGTAAAGCCTTCACTAATTATTCATCAGCTATAAAGACTTTATAATTGTTCAATATTTTGAAGCATTTGTGCACATAAACTAACCCTCATTTTAATAGTTTATTCATCTAACTGCTTTAATAGAGTACCTCTTTTTTTCATACTCCAAATTAAACATCAAATGCAATCTTTTCCAAACAACTAGAATCACTGATTTTGAGAGCTGAAAAATATTTCATTTTCTCAAGGTAAATAAAAAAACTGAGTCTCAGTGGTTGCCTAAGAATCACATTCCCACAAGATCTGCCCAGCTAGAAGGCATTAAAACCACTTTTTCAGACCCTTAAGGGTCCATGCTCTTTCTATAACATGCAGATTTTTCTCTTCATGGTTCTCGTAGGGAATTGATTCTAAATTTATTCAATTTAGTAGTGCTCAGGCAGATGTTTGTATATCTCTTATAACATGACCAGTGGGCATTGCTTTTTTTTATTCTTTAGTTATCTAGGATTTTATTCTGTATTACTATTCCAGATAAATATTTTAAATCCTTAATTTATTCTTGTAATAAAAGATAGGCTTTTCTTTGGGGGCAAGTCCATTTCTCAAGCTAAACTATGGAAAGCTGGAGCTCCAAACCGAACACAAATTAAAATTTAAATTTAACCATGTTGTGATGCCAATGAACCGCTGATGGTTTTCGAAATCTTCACAAAGGTGGTAGAAAAACTTCACAGTGAATGGATTTTATTACTTCTGACTATAATGTCACTACCTACGGTGCTTCTGTAATGTTTGTGAGACTGAAATATTTAGAAATGTTCTCCTGGCTACATTTTACCTTATTTTCTTTTTCTTTTTTTCTTTTCTTTCTTTTTTTGTTTTTTGTTTTGTTTTTTGTTTTTTGAGATGGAGTTTCGCTGTTTTGCCCAGACTGGAGTGCAGTGGCACAATCTCGGCTCACTGCAACTTCTGCATCTCAGGCTCAAGCGATTCTCTTGCTTCAGCCTCCCAAGTACCTGGGATTACAGGCATGTGGCACCACGCCGGGCTAATTTTGTATTTTTAGTACAGACAGGATTTCTCCATGTTGGTCAGACGGGTCTCAAACTCCTGACCTCAGGTGATCCACCCACCTCAGCCTCCCAAAGTGCTGGGATTACAGGTGTGAGCCACGACGCCCAGCCTATTTTACCTTATTTTCATCTCTTCATTATTCTTGTTCAGTTAGGTCCTCTGGATACCTTAATTGTTTTTAGGATCACAAACTCCTTTGTGGAATCCTTTGCTAATAAAGTCTCTGTGCTCCTCAGTGTCGGTGGCTACAAGGATTTCTTGCCATGTTCAATGCGTAGGCTTTTCCCGAAAGGCTTATGTTATAGCTCTCTTCCATTCACATTGGCATCATAAGGCACAACTGGCCAGGCACGGTGGCTCACGCCTGTAATCCCAGCACTTTGGGAGACCAAGGCAGGCAGATCACTTGAGGTCAGGGGTTCGAGACCAGCCTGGCCAACATGGTGAAACCCTGTTTCTGCTAAAAACACAAAAATTAGCCAGGCGTGGTGACGCACACCTGTAGTCCCAGCTCTCAGGAAACTGAGGCAGGAGAATCCCTTGAATCTAGGAGGCAACTAAATTCCTTCAAACACATACAATTAAAAAGTAATCCACTCTCAAATCAGTTGCATATCTATGTGAATAAAAATGCAATTCCTTGTAGATGAGTTTGCAGAGGTTGCAGTGAGCCGAGATTGTGCCACTGCACTCCAGCCTGGGTGACAGAGTGAGACTCTGTCTCAAAAATAAATACATACATACATACGTACGTACATACATACATAAGGCACAACTGTGTCTGTTTTCCATTAGCACTTTTTTGGGGGAGGAATTGCCATATGAATAGGTGCACCAATGTATTTTCCCAACAACAGTGTACAAGGGTTCCCTTTTCTCCATATCCTCACCAATATTTGTTACCTTTTGTCTTTTTTTGATAATAGCCATCCTAACAGATATGAAGTGATATCTCAGCGGTTTTGATTGGCATTTCCCTGATGGTAAGTAATGTTGAGCACCTTCTCATATACCTGCTGGCCATTTGTATGTCTTTTTTTGGAGAAGTGTCCATTCTGTTTGCCCATTTGCAAATCAGGTTATTTCTTTGGGGTTTCTTCTTTGTTAATTTGCTTGCTATTGAGTTGTAGGAGCTTCTTATGTATTTTGGATAGTAATCCCTATCAGATCTATGGTTTGCAAACATTTTCACCCATTCTGTACATTTCCTTTTCATTGTGTTGTTTCCTTTGCTGTGCAGAAAGTTTTTAGTTTGTTGTATTCCCACTTCCCACTAGTCTATTTTCGCTTTCTTTTAACCTGTGTTTTTGGTGTCATGTCAAAAATCATCACCAAAGTCAATGTCAAGATTCTTTTTCCTGCATTTTCTTCTAAGGAATTTTATGTTTCCTGTTCTTATGTTTAACTCATTAACCCTTTTTTTTTTTTTTTTTTCCTGAGATGGAGTCTCCCTCTGTCGCCCAGGCTGG